CTGCAGCCTCAACCTGTTGGGCTCCGGCAGTCCTTCCGCCTCAGCCTTCCAAGTAATTGGAACTACAGGCGCGTACTACCATGCTCGGCTCATTTTTGATTTATTGTAGAGATGAGGTCTTGCCAAGTTGCCCAGGTGGGTCTCGAACCCACAGGCTCAGGCAATCCACTTACCTCGACCTCCCAAAGCGCTGAGATTACAGGCTGAGCCACTGAGCCCAACCTCTCTGTGTGTTTTTTTGTTTGTTTTTGTTTTGAGTCAGAGTCTCACTCTGTCACCCAGGCTGGAATGTAGTGGCACACTTGTGGCCACTCCAGCATTGACCTGCTGGGCTTAAGCACTCCTTCCACCTCAGTCTTCCAGGTAGCCAGAACTACAGGTGCAGTCTACCATGCCCAGCTAATTTTTTGATTTATTGTACAGACGAGGTCTTGCCAAGTTGCCCGGGCTGGTCTCAAACCCATGGGCCCAGGCAATCCTCTCACCTCGGCCTCCCAAAGAGGCTTGAGCCACTGTGCCCAGACTGAATCCATAGTTAGTGTGGGAACTGGGCAGAGGGCACCGAAAGCCTCAGGACTTGAGAATGACTGCTGGCTTCTTCATTTTAGAAGGGTAAGCTGCCCAAGCATAATTCTGGTGCCTTCAGGGTCAGCTAGTGAAAGAAAGAAGATTCGCCCTGTTCTTTGGTTCAGCTGTATGAGATTGTTGGTATCCTATCATTTTTGGTCTGTGAGAAGGGACCCTTTTTCCAGTTGACCTAACAGCGTGAGGATCTCAGGTGGGGAGCTGGGGCCGAGTCTCTGTCGTGTGCTCTTTGGGCAGGACAGCACGGCCGTGTAAGGCCATCCTGGCCTGAGCTCCCGATAGCACAGCCTGCAGGAAGGATCCTGCCATCCAGGGCTCCCCTTGGACCCCAGCCTCTGCACTATTTAAAGCCTGTTCCTCGGGACAGCTGATCTCAGCTGGGCACTGTACAGTATCTTGGCCAGCACAGCTGTTCCTGGGTGCTAAATTTGGGAGCACTTGTCTGTGAGCAAGGCCGCTTTCTTAGAAGCTGTGCTGGATTTCCTGCCTGGTGACGCAGAGCCCCAGCCTCTGGACTTCCCTCAAAGCAGAAAAAAAGTACCTGGTGGCACCAAGCCTGAAGACCAGGGCCCAGGCGCCTCTTGCTCTGTCGCAGGCCTCTTTGTCAGCTGTCGAGTTTGCCCCCCTTCCCTGTTGTCCAACCCGTTGCTGCCACCCCTTTCCAGGCCTGGAGCTGCTGAAGACCGCGATCGCGAAGGCGGGCTACCCGGATAAGGTGGTCATCGGCATGGACGTGGCCGCTTCCGAGTTCTTCAGGTCTGGGAAGTACGACCTGGACTTCAAGTCTCCCGATGACCCTAGCAGGTACATCTCATCTGACCAGCTGGCTGATCTGTACAAGTCCTTCATCAAGGACTACCCGGGTGAGTGCCCCCGGGGCTGCGGGTGATGGCCGGGAGGGTGGGGTGGGTGGGCGTGTCTGTGCCACACACTTCCCCATGGGGACTTGGCTGGGGGCTGGCCACGGTGCACGTGCCAGGGCATCACGGGGTGCTGGTGTGCACAACGTCTTGGGAGTTGTCCTCCAGGAGTCACGCGACCTAGTGGCGAGCTGCCTGCGGTGCCATCACCTTCCGTCATGTGCAGCAGCCCCCCGGCACAGGTGCTGTGTCCCTCATCACACGGGGCAGGGAAACAGCCTGGCTGACACTGAAGCATGTTATGCTCTCCTGGGCTGGGCTCGTTCTAGGCTCTGCATCATTTAAAGCAGCCAGGATAGAGGGGCTGGTGGTGTTCTACAGGAGAGAAACTGAGGCCTGGAGCAGTTCAATAACTTGTCCGGGGTACACAGCAAGTGGTGGGGCAAGCGGTCAGACCAGGACATCTGACTCCATACCTTGTCCATTTAGCCGTTACCCTCAGTAGCCTGGTCAAGGCCTAGGCAGGAATCCGCTCAGGTCTCCAGCTGTGTGCTTCCTCCCAGTGGGCTGGGATCACACCACCTGGGCAGGTGTCCTCTTTTAAAAACATGGTTCTGAGCTGGGCTCGGTGGCTCAGCCTGTAATCCCGCGCCTTTGGGAGGCTGAGGTGTTTGGATTGCCTGAGCCCGCGGGTTCAAGACCCACCTGGGCAGCGAGACCTCATCTCTACAATAAATCAAAAAATCAGCCGGTGTGGTAGCACATGCCTGTAATTCTGGCTACTTGGAAGGCTGAGGTGGAAGGATCGCTGGAGCCCAGCAGGTCGAGGCTGTGGTGGCCGGGAGCGGCCATTTCACTCCAGTCTGGGCGACAAAGTGAGACTCCGACTCCAAAAAAAACAGGGTTCTGACCTCTGGGTCCAGTACTGTGGGGTCTCATGCCCACTGCAGGAGTGGGGGGAAGGTGGGTAAGGCCAGGTGCTTCCAGGAGGAGCCTGGAGTCCTTCCGTCCCCTCAGGGAGGGCGGCATGTGGCCACGGAGCAGTGCTGTGAGAGAGAAGCAAGGTGGTCGGGGCTCACGCTGACGCGGCGTCTCCTCCCTCAGTGGTGTCCATCGAAGACCCCTTCGACCAGGATGACTGGGGCGCCTGGCAGAAGTTCACAACCAGCGCTGGGATCCAGGTGGTGGGGGATGACCTCACAGTGACCAACCCCAAGCGCATCGCCAAGGCCGTGGGCGAGAAGTCGTGCAACTGCCTGCTGCTCAAAGTGAACCAGATCGGCTCCGTGACCGAGTCCCTCCAGGCGTGAGTGTCCCCAGGGAGAGCTTCCGTGCCGCTGGAGGCTGCGGTTAGGGCAGGGCTCCTTGGCTCTGGTGTTGGGGTTCCTGCTGGCTGGACCCCAGGACCCTTGGAATTGTATCAGGTTTCGTGTTGGAGCTCCAGGTAGCCTTTAAAGTAAGTGGTGGCACCCAGGGGCCTGAGGCGTTGAGCAGTGTGGCCTGGCCCCCAGCGACTTCCTGGTCCTCCCACGTGACTTGAGGGTCCTGTCGGACAGCATCCGCTGCCTCTCCCCTCCGGAGGCTGGACCAGCATTGGGCCATGGTTAGAGAGCCCAGAAGCCCCTCTGGATGGAGCTGGGAGGGGGGTGAGGGTGGCCGCTGTGCTGTCCATGAAGCCCTGGGGTCCAGAACTCTGGCTCCCGTTGGCCCCTCGGCTATTCCTCCAGCAGTGGGGTGAGGCGTTGGGGTTTATGGCACCGGGAAGGAGGCCTGTGCCATCCGGGCTGTCTCTTGGCTTCCAGGTGCAAGCTGGCCCAGGCCAATGGCTGGGGCGTCATGGTGTCTCATCGTTCTGGGGAGACTGAAGACACCTTCATCGCCGACCTGGTGGTGGGGCTCTGCACTGGGCAGGTGAGGAGCTGCTTAGGAAGGAAGGTTCTCTGCCCTTCTGTCGCCTGAGCTTCCTGAGTGGGGGAGGATGTGCCTCCCCTTGACAAGGCTCTGGGAGTGGCCTGGCTCATCCTCCTCTTGCTCACGTCCCTGCGTCACCGCTGTGGCCAGAGCCTGCACAGAGTGGAAGAGAGAACCGGCTCTCCTTTAACAGTTCAGCCATGGTGTTTCTAGAGCTGAATGCTGCGGGCAGTTCCACCCTCCTGCCTAGGGCCAGAGCCTCCGTCAGAAACCCAGGCCCTGGCATGGCACCCTCCCTTGCCTGAAAAGCCCCCAAAGACTGTCTGCTACCAGCAAATGCGAATTTCCTTTCTCCTTCTAGATCAAGACTGGTGCCCCTTGCCGATCTGAGCGCTTGGCCAAGTACAACCAGCTCCTCAGGTAAAGGGGCTTCTGCACGCGTGTGGGCGCCGCCTCGCCCAGAGTGCCTGACTGTGGAGCTTGCCCAGATGGGGGTGCGCAGCACAGAGAGCGGGGCCCAAGCAAGCTTAGGTTGGGGCAGAGTTAGGCGTGCACCCCTCCCGGCACCCGGGGCACTTCCACCAGTGCCATCCAGGAGCAGGCGCGTGGTCCTCCCAGTGCTGCCATCTTCTGGCGGGAGAGAGAACGGGCTCTCCTTTAACAATTCAGCCACCGCGTTTCTAGAGCTGAAACCATCGATTCCGTGGCCATCAATTTCAGGTCGCCTCCCCTCATTTTGTGAATGTGGGGCCAGGGCTCAGAGGGATGGGGAGAGTTTGCCAAGTGGCAGACGGCTGGGTTTCCACCGATCGGTGCTGTCCAGCTTGCTCTCCTGCCTGCGTGTGTCCTCCGGAAGACCCAGGGAGACTTGCCCCCTTTACTAGTGGGAAAGGAATACCCATTCTTTGCATTCTTCTATATGGCTCCTTCAGTTGCCCCCTCCACCCGGCACAGCAGCTGCCAGTATTCTGCCATTGTTTAGTTTCCTCACAGCCCACCTTTTTTTGCTGGAGCATTTTATTTTATTTTGAGTTGGAATCTCACTCTATCACCCAAGTTGGAGTGCAGTGGCACACTCACGGCCACCGCAGCCTCGAACTGCTGGGCTCAGGCGATCCTTCCAACTTAGCTTTCCAAGTAGCTAGAACTACAGGTGTGTGCCACCACGCCCAGCTAACTTTTTGATTTACTGTAGAGATGAGGTCTCACCAAGTTGCCCGAGCTGGTCTCAAACCCGTGGGCTCAGACAACCCTCTCATTTCGGCCTCCCAAAAGTGCTGGAATTACAGGCTTGAGCCACCGTGCCCGGCTGCTGGAGAATTTTAAAGCAAAATCTAGACATCTGCAACTTTACCTGTAGATACTTTTCAGATGTACATTTTTTTTTTTTTTTTT